GAGCAGGAGGGCCACCAGGAACCAGAGCAGGAGGGCCACCAGGAACCAGGACAGGAGGGCCACCAGGAACCAGAGCAGGAGGACCACCAGGAACCAGAGCAGGAGGACCACCAGGAACCAGAGCAGGAGGACCACCAGGAACCAGAGCAGGAGGACCCACGTCAGAGGGGTGGGAAGGGTGGGCTTCAAAAACCCCTGGTGCCACCTGCTCTGAATGGCACCCTGAAGCGACCAGTACCCTTAGTCCAGCCAGCTCTCCCTTCATCCCCTCCAGGAGCCCAAGGATCTGAGAGAGGGGAGAAACTGGCAGGGTACAAGCCGTGGGTGGGGAGGGGAAACGCTGCCTGCTGGGTTCAATCTTTGGTCGGATCATTCTGACACGACTTGGAGGCAGGGTGAACCCAGTTGCAGGCAGGCAGACAGGCAAGAACGTTTAACAAAAAATTTATTAAATAAATGGCCAGCTTGGAGGCAAAAACTGAAAACTAACCAAAATGCAGGAACAAGAAAGCCAGGGCAGAACAAGAATCCAACTGGAACATACAAACAATGATCCGACGATGACACAGAGACAAGACTGAGCTTAAATACACAGAAAACTAATGAGGGAACAAAAAACACCTGGGGAGAAACACGAGGGTGACTAATCAGACAAATGAGGGGCAGCTGGGCAGACATGAGAAAGAAAACAAGAACATGACAGAAACTAAAAATAAAAACACAGACAAAAATCATAACATATTGTTAATATTGATGCAGCAACTCTGTGCTAAAAACCAGCAGGATGTATTATTAGATTCACTGTAGCTAATAAACTAAGTATTCAGAAGAATAAATTAGTACTTTAGGTTGTTTTCTGTCTGGAGTATGTCATCATTAACCCTGGATGGCAAAATTACACTTAAATTAAAAAATATTTGACCAAAGGAAAGCCAGAGTAGGACTGGAGAGAGATGAAAATGATTTCTGTGACTGTAAGSACCCACAGGAGACAACATTAACAGATCATTTCATTCCTTTAAAACAGCTCCTTTAATTCCACAGCTGACCTGCTAAAAAGGACAGATTTTCTTTTCTCGATCTTGGAGAGCAGAACTTCAATCTCTGAACTAGTAAAGTTCTTCGTTCTTATTTTAATCGCTTTTAGCTGTTTTAAACAAACCTGCAAATATTTTTTCTTGTAAGACCATATTTGCACAGTCATTAGTTTAGTTTTTGTTTAGCCTTGTAATGCCATCAGATAGTAAATGCGTAAATACTATAGGTCTGACTATAATGACATGAAATCATACTACTTGTGTATTTTCCACAAATTTTGCTCCCATCAAGGCCCAACATCACAATATTACATTTCTGTAAAATCTTACTAAGCATCAAAAATTAGGTAGCTCTACAATTTCTGTTTCAGAGGCTTTATTTAACAAACGAGGTGACATAATTTTCGCTKATTTTTTCTATTCTTTGATTTTACAGGGTTTTTATTACGTTATGTTAATTCAGACTCTGATACYCTGTTTTTATTCTAACCATGTTTTCCAAATAAATGTTACACAAAAATGCACAAATATGTTACACAATTCCACTATAAAATGTTTCCCTGAGAGATTTAGAAAACATATGAATACATCAGTTCATAAACACAACAGCTCAGTAGTAAAACACGTTTAAATTTAACAGGATGATGAGTTTTGAACATTACATTTTCATTTGGTTGTTATAAATTTCAGCTTGCAAACAGAAATTACAGTCAAACMTATTTAAATACATCACTTCAGACAAACTTAATTATGAACACAAATTCATAAACATATATGATACTGTGGTAAAACGCAACAATGAGGCTGGGACCTGAGCTGTTGTTTGTAATAAACTCAATTTAAATTTACACAGATTACTTTTATTACTTAGGATTACATTCAAGCTGAAAAATAGCCCTTTAAGAAGAATCTTGTCTGCCATCTGCTGGACACTTTCTGTTGTGCTCATATTTAGACGTC